TGCTAAGAGTGATGGTGGTATGGAAGAAATAGTGTTATATATATACTCCATTCTGTACCATTCCGTAACCAGGAGGACTTCAAGTGCTTTCGGAAGTTTCCACACACTTACCAGCTGCCAGCACCGTGGAACTTGAATTTTTATTGGGGTACCTGAAACAGAAAGAGAATTAGTGTTGCGTGATCACAGAGTCCAGCCGAAAACTGTTTGAGGCCGGTCACACATGGCCTGTATGAACTGGATTTTCGGTTTGGTTCCGTATTAGTAACTTACCTCCGGCTACGGACCACCGTAGGTTTGGTAAGTCTGATGATGTGCAATTTTTGGAGTCAACCTTTTCTAACCTCCTCCCTCCAGAATGGAGAGACAGCATAGATGGCTGGTATACTGGTCATTTGAGGGGAACACCTTACTGTAGCTGTTACATCCTTATTCCCCAACAGTACGGTTTTGCCTACAGACCCTCAATTATAGTATTAAAAAAATCCTATACTATGCCGTTAACTGCTTTTAGTTTAATCGCTATCAGGTCAGGTTTTATCGCTACAGGTCAAGACTCTGTAACTAGTTTCACTGTTATCCACAGGTAATTGTTCAATGCTTAAACTGAATTTATTTCGTGTATTTGGACAAGGAATCCTAGGTCACCTGAGTGGTGGTGACTGATATCTATCTATTGATTTATATTAGATCGAGAAATGAGTTTTTCTAAATATTGATGTACTTATTTTTTTCCTAATGAACAAAAGCATAACCGGAATAAAACCCAACAATAATTGAATGATATTGATTTTTAATGACTTGAGTAGGTGGAAATTATTATTTTGTCGTTCTATACCTAGAGGAACATAGGGCTTCAGCTGCGCATCTCCATTGCCTTCGGTTTTCTGCCAACTTTTTCACACCGCTCCAAGTCTGCCCACATGCTTTCATCTCCTCTTCACATGACCTCCGCCAAGTCACCCTCGCACTGACGACCAACTCGCTGCTTCCCTTTCGGGTTCCACTCGAGCAATGGCTTGTCTAGTGATGTCACTTGATCTTTTGTTTTCTCAGAGTATGGCAAATCCTTCTCCATTTCTTCCTGCCTATTTGTTTCACAATCGGTTCCTGCTGTGTTGGTTCGCTCATTGTCAGAGATCCCTGTTGCTGATCCTTTCAGACCGGCCATCTGATCTTGAGTATTGAGCGGAGACAACTGTTAATGAATATCTTTAGTTTGTTTGAGATGCTCTTTATGATGCGCCAAGTCTCTGAAACGTATAGTAGCACTGACTGACTTCACATTGGAGTTGAAAATGCGGATCTTAATTTTCATGCTGAGTGCTGTTGACCTCCACACAGACTTGAGAGTAATGAAAGCCTGCCTTGCTTTCCCGATCCTCACTTTGATATCCTCGTCGGTTCCGCCTGTAGTTGTATCGGTACTTCCCAGGTAGGTAAAGGAGGTTGTTTCTTTCAGGTTCCTCCCATTTATGTGCTGATTGTTGTCTGTTGTTGTTGTTGATGCTGTTGGTGCTGGCCAGGAATCTGCATCACCTCTGTTTTATCTATGTTCACTTGAAGTCTTATCTTTGATGCTTCTTCTGCCAGCTTGTTGCTTTTCACTTGCATATCTTCTAGTTTGTGGGAAATCAGACATATATCATCGGCGAAGTCCAGATCCTCCAAGTCTTTTGTGTGAGTCCATTTTATGCCTGTTTCGTCGGTGCCCGCCTCTGTCTGTCGCATTATCCAGTCTACTGCAATCAGGAAAATCATTGGTGATAGTAGACAGCCTTGTCTCACTCCCGTCCTCACTTCGAAGGATTCCGTAAGTTTCCCGTTGTGGATTACTTGGCATGCAGCATTGTCGTATAACTGATGGATGAGATTTATATTTTTCGGTGTCACCCCGTAGTAGCGAAGTAGTTGCCAAATCACCTCTCGATCGACGCTGTCGAAGGCCTTTTCAAAGTCGATGAAGTTGAGATAGAGAGGTGACTGCCATTCCAAGCTTTGTTCAATGATGATCCGTAGAGTGGCGATTTGATCAATACATGATTTGTTTCTCCTGAATCCGGCCTGTTCCGGACGAAGTTTTTCATCTAGGGCTTGTTTGATTCTCTCCAGGATGATGCGACTTAGTATTTTGCTTGGAATGGACAGAAGCATAATTCCACGCCAGTTTTTACATTGACTTAAGTCTCCTTTCTTTGGTAGTTTGAATAAGTATCCTTTCTTCCAATCCTCGGGTACTTTGCCCTCTTTCCACACCTTCTCCAGCAGTGGTGTCATCAAGTCCGCTGTTGTCTCTGGGTCTATTTTCAAAGCTTCTGCTGGGATTCCATCTGGTCCTGCTGTTTTTCCAGCTTTTAGCATCTTGATTGCATTCAGGACTTCTGATTTCGTCGGGGGGTCAGTGTTCACTGGTAGTTCTGCTTCCGTTGTTGGTATTGTTGGGCGTGTTGTAGGTGGCGGACGATTTAGAAGTCTTTTGAAGTGTTCAGCCCAGTGCTTTCTCTGTTCCACCTCTTTGGTGATTGACTTTCCATTGTCGTCCTTTATTGGCTTAATCTGTGTCGAACGTTTGCCCGAAAGGTGCCTAGTTGTTTGGTAGAGTGTGGCGAGGTCTCCTTTGCCTGCAGCTTGTTCTGCTTCGTTTGCCATGGTTTCATAATATTTTCTTTTGTCTTCCCTGGCACTCTTCTTCACTCTTTTGTTCAGTGTATTGTAGCTTGCATTCAGCTCCTGTTTTTGTTGCTCGTCAGTGCACTGGATAATCTTTTGCTTCACTGTCCTTCTCTCTTCTATTAGTTTCCAAGTGTCCGTAGTGAGCCACTGTTTGTCCTGTCTCTTTTTTCTGCCTAGAATTTCTATGCAGGTTTGGCTCCACACCGTTTTCAAGTTGTTCCAGTGCTTTTCGACGCTGACCTTTTCGCTGGTGTTGATTTGTATCTCAGCTTTGTCCTTTATGCTTGCAATGAAGATGTCCTTTGTAGCCTGGTCCTTCAGCTTTTGAGTGTTGAACTTGGCTTGTGGTCTATCTGCAGCTCCTGATTCCCTGAAAGCTTTTAATTTGATTTGGATTGTCCCTTGTACGAGATAGTGGTCTGAGCCAACGTCTGCTCCTCTTCTTTTGTGTCCAGTAGGCTGCGCCTCCACTTCCTTGAGATTGAGATGAAGTCGATTTGGTTTTTGGTTTGCCCGTCTGGTGACACCCATGTAGCCTTGTGGATATCTTTGTGCTTGTATACACTGCCACCAATCACTAGTTCGTTGAAGGCGCAGAAGTCGGCGAAGAGTTCTCCATTTTCATTCATTTCTCCTAGAGCTTCTCTACCCATGATGAGTTCCCTTCCTGTGTTGTCTGGTCCCAGTTTGGCGTTCATGTCTCCCATTAGTATTTTCATGTCGCCAGCTGGAGTATTGTCCATTGTTGCCTGTAGTTGTCTGTAGAATTCTTCTTTCTTTTCGAGGTCTGCGTTGTTTGTGGGTGCATAACATTGTATGATTGACACTTTCCTTCCTTTGGAGTTGAATCTGGCGGTCATTATCCTGGACGAGATCGCCTCCCATTGCATCAGGGCCTTTGTTGCCGTTGGTGACATCATGATAGCCACTCCCTCGGTGTGCGTGTGGTTATCTTCTGGGTGACCGGAGTAGATCACTGACTCACCCGTTGACAATTTGGTGAGTCCACTCCCATTCCATCTGCTTTCACATATTCCCAGTACTTGGATTCCGTATCTTTTCATCTCGTTTGCGATCAGGACAGGTTTTCCAATCTCGTAGATGGTGCGGACGTTCCATGTTCCCACACAGACTTTTTCTTTTGGTGCAAAGAGATTCATCGTGCTGAAGTTTCTGTAGCAACTTTGTTTACAGATTGGAGTTGCAAAAAGCGACAACAACAATACAATACAACAACATGCAATACAGTTAAGGACAGTTAACTAAAATGATACCATAACCGTAGACTCACTGACTTGGGCCAACTTGAACATATAAATCCAACAATATATACAATTACGGATATGAGTTAGTATTAAAAGGTCGCAAAATGTCAAACAGTTTGTTATAGGTATTAGTAGTCAACAATATTATATCCACAGGTTTAGTGCTCGAAAGTAAACGGATTGCAATAATTCCCAGAACTTCGTGATGAGAAACAACAAAGAAATGAGAGTTTTATGTATCTAAGCAAAATGTAGCGTACTAATCGAAAAGCGCGGGCCGCTAAAAAGGCTGAAAAGTTACCCTCTATATGTTACAGGAAGCATGCTGTACATTTACAACATTTAAAAGACAACAGATTGAGACAATTAGGCTATGAAATGCTCTGACTGTGTTCTCGTGATTTCATGTTTGCTAGATCTATCAAAGGCTATGTGGATAGTATGTGACCTTCTGGCTGTCTACTGAGTTCAAAGATAGTTGTATTCTTATATATCAGCGCTTCAATGTCATAAATTTGTAGAATTCAGGCAATGTCTTAATGAGAGTCATATTGATGATGATGGATAATATATAAATACAATAGAGAAAAGTTAAATTTTGATTGTAGATTGTTAAACTTTGTGAATTGGTGGCACAGCTGTAGAATGCTCGCCGAAACTACTCAGGTGGTTCAGGGTTCGATCCCCAGTCGACTCACTCTTTTACCTGGCTAAGCCAGTAATAATACTAGTAAAAAGGCAAGTTTGGGCTGGGCATGAGGCTGGCTAGAAACCCTATCCCGTAAAAGCAAATACCACTGCCTGCCGAAACTTATTCATAGCCTAAGAATCTTGAAACCCTGTGTTACACTGGGAACGTAAAGGAATAAAATGATAATAAAAATAATAATGGAGCAGTTGTGACTTTATTTGGTTTAGTTTTTTTCGATTTGAATAATTACATTTTAGAGTTTGATTATTATTATTATTAATTTGTTTTCTTTCGTATTGTTGTTTGTTTTTGGCTTGTCTGAAATGCTTTCCTGACTTTCTTCTTTTATAACCCTTTGTGTTTATTTAAAGCTTGCTATGGAGTATTGTGGAGCTGGATCAGTTGCTGATCTTATCAAAAGTAAGCATTATTATTATTATTATTATTATTATTACTATTAGCACCACATTATCGCCATACATTATTATTTTGGTGCTCTGATTGTATCAAAATTGAGTTGTGAGTGGTTAGAATTTCAACTTTTTCGCATAGTCTTCTTCATCTGCTTCCAACTCAATGGTAAATACTTATGATAGTAGTAGTGGGTGCAGTCACATAGATAAACCGAGTTTGCCCCGAATATATTCTCAGTTGAATTCGCAATTTATGACGCAATCCAAAGAAGGGAAGTTTCACCACCACAGTTTCCTTTGTAAAAACTAAATTATTCAGATCACAATATTTGATCTGTTCGAGATCATAAAATGGTAATCAAGAAAGCAAGCATAAATATGTAAAACTATATATATACTATTGATTGATTGCGATGATTAGTTGCATAACATCCACATCAACCAGTAGTTGTTATTCATTCTTATTATTCCCCTGGGTTCCGAGTGGAACATATGGCTTCAACAACACATATCCACCGTGCTCCATCCTCTGTTGTCCTCTTCAGCCGGCCTCACGATTGACCATACTATGTCATCTTTATCTCTAAAACATACGATCTCCTCCATGTCACCCTCACACTGATGAACCACTCGTCGATGGCCTACATTCCGCGCAATGTCACTCGACGACGACTCAAGGTATGCCCCATCAGTCCATCTCCATTTTTTCCTACATATTTGTTGAGCAATCGGCTCTCGCTTGTTGGTTTGTTCCCGAATCTTGTTCTCTGTGCTGGCTGAGCGAGTGCAGCGCAGATTTCCCAACTGGTTCGAGGTTGATAAAGGCGTATCTTGCCTTTAGGATTCTGCCTACTTTGACAAATTCTTCCGTTCTGTCTGTCTGTGGTTGAAACCCCATGCTTCCTGGCGAGATAAGTGAAGGAAGTAAGCTCTTTCAAATCTCTCCGGTTGATGATGATTAGTGTTGGTTGGTTATCTTCATCACCTCCGTCTTCTCTATGTTCACTTGGAGTCCTGTCTTCGCTGTCTGCTAGCCTCTTTTGTCAGTTTGTTGGTTTCCTCCTGTAAGTCTTCGACTTTGTGTGAAATTACACATATATCATCTACGAAATCTAGGTCTCTTAGAGTCTTCTTATTAGTGGTCAAAAGTATTTCTGTCCTCTCACTCCCATGCACAGTCTGACAAATAACCCTAGTCCACCGTCAACCAGTAGTGCTTACTTGAAATTTCACCCCTTTTTGAACTGAGTAAATGATTAACGTCTCCCAATTAAAGTGAATTGCGCGTCGTGAATTCCACTACTAGGCACCAACATCAACCAAACAATATCAACATATTTAGATTTTTTGATCGTTTCACAAGTCTACATCAGTTAGATATTTATTGAAAATCGGGAAGCAATAATCCATAACTGTTTCCTCCTACTTTTGGACTCCTCAACAGGAATCGAACCAAATACCTTCAGGTAATTTATATCAGTTTGACTCCCATTAGAATTATTTCCTGTCTGCTCACACCGTGAAATTTGATTTATTCTTGGGGTGCCTGAAAAAAAAGAATTACTGTTGCGTGACTACAGAGTTCACGAGACAACTGCTTGTGGCCGGTCACACACGGCCTGTATGAACTGGCTTTCTGATTTGGTTCCGTATGAGCAACTTACCACCGATTACGGACCACCGTAGATGTTGGGGTAAGTGAGGATGTACAATTTTCGGCGTTGACCTTTTTTAACCCTCCCTCTCCAGAGTGGATAGACAGCATGGGTGGATGGCACTCTGGTCATCTGAGGGAAACACCTTACTGTGGCTTTTATATCCATCCCTATTCCCCAGCAGTAAGACTCTGCTCACAGACCCTCAGCATAGTGTAAAAGACAAATCTTACGCTATGTCGGTATCTGCTTTTATTCTGATCGCTATCCTAACAAGGTAGTATCTGCAGGAACATTACTTCCAGCCAGTGTAGCTTGTTATTGGGTCATTGGGATATGCAAGGCTGGCGACCACACCACGTCAAGGTAATAGCAGCTATCGGTTGAAGAGTTAACCTGGCATAACAAACGCTGAATACTTCAATCCAGTGAAGTCATATCGACAAGAAATCTGTCAAAATATTGGTCGTAATAATAATTTCAATCAATAATAACATTTCTTTTTCATAACTCCATTTATTTTGATGATGTTTCTTTTTTCAGGTACTCGTACAAAATCATTAAAAGAAGATTGGATTGCCTATATCAGTCGAGAAATTCTTCGAGTAAGTCATTTTCAAACAGTCATCCTGCTCAACTTTTTTCTTATCGAAAAATTATTTAAAAAATCAATAATTTCTTATCTTATCCTTTCTCCAGTAAGTGAAATGAACTCATTTTAAACGAAAAGTGTAAGTGTGATAACTTCAGGGAACATTGAAAGTGTGATTTTTTTGTGTAATTTCATTTCAGTGTTTATTTCATCTCTTTCAATGTTTCAGCATTGTTCATTGATATCTACACAAAATCAAAAACATAGGAAACAGTTGGAGGCAATCGATAGGAAGCCCTGTCTGACCTAGGTTTCGTGCTAGCTGGCAATCACCAGTCAGCGAGACGTATCTGAACGAACTCGTGTCCCTCCTTCTGAGATTCAAACCCACATCCCCCGGTGCAGTGCTGCAGTCAGACACATTACCACTGAGCTTTTCGGGCTCGTGGGTCACACTGCAAACTTGAATGCCAATAGAATTCACTCTGCATCAAAGATTAGGAATAGACACATTACACTAGGTACACTTGCGTTGGCAGCACAGCGGTTAGGACGCTCACCGATCATGCACACAATATATGGGGTTCGATCCTCGACTGATGCACACCTGATACCAATCACTGGTCGGCCTGCTAAATTTGGTCTGCTGATATCATATACTGAAAATTCCATACTTATACCAAAATGCTGTGTGGAATAAAGCTATAATAAAATAAATTTAAAAAAATACAATAACTAGTGTCCAAGAAAAAGTACAGTTTTGAAATTCCTTAACACATTAATTTTCCATAGTTATTCTTCGTACGTCGTCGGTGGTTCCATAACATATTGTTCACAAGCAGCTGTGCGATACATTTTGGTTGCGACTCGCAGCCTACTCATTACTGAACCTCACCTAGACCATTACTAAGTCCGGATAATTCTGCTTGACAGGCTGAAACAATCCTATTTCGTAAAGACATCAGCACCACTTCTACAACTCCAAAAGTTTGAAACCCTATGCTCCAGACAGAATGCAAAGGTTAGGAACAAAAGGTGGTTTTCGTCTAATACGTCGTAGTGCATTATCAGTTATTGACTTGGAGCCTTTTAATTTTATTACCTTTGATAACTGTCGAATGCTTCAACAATGCTGAAGTCGTGAACAGTAGGGTGCAGCAGGTCGGGTGTGGGAACAAATACTCGCCGAAGACATTGGCTAGCGGTCTCGCTATGTCGTAAATTGGCAGAAGTTAGGATTCATGCACTGGCCGGCCGTTGGATCGGGTCCCAGTGGCTGAATGGTCTACGAGCTAGCTCGCCTTGAAACCAGGAGGTCCTGGGTTCGAACCCTGGCGGTGGTTGCGTACAACTGAAGAGTCCCAAACTAGGACGAAACAGCTGTCCAATACTCCCTGGTTGCTTTCCAATGGTTCTCTAACCGATATCAGCTCATGATGAAGTCCTGTTGGACATTGGTGTTTATGCCCTTGTGAAAAAAGTTTTGTACGATTTCTATGTGTTGTGCTTATTGTTATATGCTTCTAATATTTTGGATAACATTAAACTTTAACCTGCATCTATGTTTCGTAGTTATCGCGTATTTGTGATACCGTCTGTATTTCCCACTCATACTGATTGCTAACTGTTAAAACTCACCACCAGTGAACTTAATGTTCATCAGAGTAATTTAGAACCTATATTTGTGTGTATTCTCAACAGTCTAGCGTGTCCCTCACTTTCGCCTGCTTTGGTGGTTGATGTTGTTATTCAGATTGGAGTGGTTTTGGCTAGTACAGTTTGGTTCGCATAGTTCACGGTCCGTATTATCGCCGGGCCATTCCAGCTACTTTTTTTCCATTACTTATATTAGATGATACACTGGAAATTAAAAGACTTCAGATGAATTTTCCAGACTAATCGACTGTTGATTGCATGTCTTTTCATGGAATAAAATCCACAATAGTTACTTTAAGCCAGCCATGTCATGTATGACTGTATGAGGTCCTCGGGACGGTAAGAACCAATGAAAGCTGGTGTAACAACAGAAGACAAGGGCCAGGCAACAGATCGTTTTATTATGAAAATCAACACGTATTTATACATCTTTCAACTACATTATTATAGACAAGCGCAGTCATCTGATTGGTTGTTTAGGTAGACAAACGCAGGCTTCTGATTGGTTGTTTCGGGATTCCTTGACAAATAGAGTTCTCTATCTGCGAATCATATTTTGCCACGTTAACTTTGCTGTGATTGGTTGTTGACTCAGCCTTGTTCATGTCTTCTCACGGCCCACATTAGTGACCTAGACCTTAACGTAGATTAGTGCCAACCAATCGGCTAGCAGCCTGCTCTCACCACACTCGTCCCCCCGTCAAATACGTGCGACTGAAGTCGGCTTGATCTACTTGGTGCAGGCGTCATCGTTGGCTTGTCTCGCTGTATCCATTTCTGGAGCTCGCTGATGTTCACGCGCCTCTTATTGTTCGCCATTGCGACTGTGTCTGCGTAACCCCATCTCGAAGTGACCATATATGGTCCTTCCCACTTTGGAAACTGTTTGCCTGACCCTGTCGAACATTCGTCCATACTTCGGCTCACACTTTCATATGCTGCTTTCACCCGACCTCCCAGCAGCGTCCCAAGTAGCAGCTCCATCGCTGACAGATCTTGAACGCCACTCAACTGCGCAGAAGCCTTGAAGTCCTGCCCGAAGATCCATATGTCTCCATCAAAAACTGCAGGGTATAGGCTTTTCATTTGTCGGTAGGCAGCGACACCAAATGTAACAACAGAAGACAAGGGCCAGGCAACAGATCGTTTTATTATGAAAATCAACACGTATTTATACATCTTTCAACTACATTATTATAGACAAGCGCAGTCATCTGATTGGTTGTTTAGGTAGACAAACGCAGGCTTCTGATTGGTTGTTTCGGGATTCCTTGACAAATAGAGTTCTCTATCTGCGAATCATATTTTGCCACGTTAACTTTGCTGTGATTGGTTGTTGACTCAGCCTTGTTCATGTCTTCTCACGGCCCACATTAGTGACCTAGACCTTAACGTAGATTAGTGCCAACCAATCGGCTAGCAGCCTGCTCTCACCACACTGGAAACAATTGGTGATATGGCTCAAATTCATCGTTCTCAGTGGCCGGTACAGATGCATTCACCCTTTGTGATTCGTCATATCCAATAAAACTCTATTGTTCTCCCACTATATTACTAGTGTATGGAGGATTTCATCATGAGCTGACATCAGTTAGAGAACCACTGGAAAACCTGGGAGTACAGGACAGCTGTTTCGTCCTAGTTTGAGACTCTTCAGCAATACTTGTATATTATTATTCTTTTTCCTTCACTAGCACTTGTGCTTATTATCTCTTTTTCGAATCTCTAATTATTCTCTTCTCTTGCTTTGTGTGGTACACTACATGGTTCTTGATCGGTTTGTCCCCAGAGTTTCTTATTACTCATCCTTTACTTCTGCTTTCGACTCTGTACCTAGAAGTCTCTTGCTAAATAAGCTCTCCATGACACAAACCGAGTCCTGGGTCACTAACTGGTTGCATTCCTACTTTTCAAACAGAATGCAGTACACCGTATACAAAGGCCAATCCTCCTCTGCTGTGCTCACAGAAGCTGGTGTCCCCCAAGGTGCTGTACTCTCCCCACTTCTCTTTTCTTTCTTCCTACATGACCTACCGTCTTCAAATGACATTAACTTTGTCAAATATGCTGATGACCTAACTGTATCTTTACCTGTCAAATGTCAAAGTGACTGCTCTAAACTAAATGGCTTCTTATCGGAAATTAGCCAATGGTCCAAGGAAAACGGTCTAACCTTAAACCCCTCCAAATGCCAAACAGTTAATTTCACCTTAGGCATAAATCTGACCTAAACAAACTGGTTAGCACTCACGAGGTGTGCAACATAGATGGCAGTGAAATAGAAACCAAGTCGGAAATTAAATACCTAGGCGTCACTCTATCTTCTGATCTTTCCTGGTCGTCTCATATCTTGACGATTTCCAAGAAAATATACCGTCTTACCTTCTACATCAAGAAGTTAAGACATTCTGGTGTAACCCAACCCTTACTCCTACAATTTGTTAACTCCCGTATTCTGCCTATTATTCTCTATTGCTCCCCCTTAGTCTTTCCTGGGCTATTGAAGAAAGACTATACCTTATTACGTAGGATGTTAAAGGTTGTCAGCAGGGTAAGCAGTTTGCCACTTAGCCAGCTTGTTAATATTCTGGTGGACAGGCACATGGACTCATGTGAAAAATGGGCGAAATCCATTTTATCTGACTCACAACACCCTCTACATTCACAACTCTCCCCATGTATCTCTTCAGGGAAAACAAGAAGCCTATATAGGAAACTATATGCCCGCACTAGTAAGTACAAAAACTCATCCATACCCTACCTAGCCCGTGTTCTGTGCGATAAAGAATGCATCAGGCATGAAACCTTTAACTTATTAAATAGTCAGTAGAACCAATGGATCTCGTCTTTCCAACTCACATCATTTATAGGTACAACGTTTTCTCGCTCTTCATTCTGTATTTATTTTTGTTATGTGCTGTTTTGTTTCTCTCTTCCTTGCAAACTCTACTTAAAACATTCTTGTTCGTTCTTTCACACTCTGTATATCTCGACCATTTTGCTATCGCTTACGCCAGTAAATATGCTAGTAGTATCTACTTTTCTAACACCTTCAAACACTTTAATTTTGGCTTTGCTACCGACATACTAATATGTTGTTGAGATAACTTTAATCTATGTAGAACTTTATTTATTGTTAATGTAAAAACTGGATGCAATATTGTAGTAAAATGCTGAGAATTCCATTCTGTATCACAAGTACTGATTTGGAATAAAGCTTATGTTATGTTATGTTTCTAGTCATCCAGTTTTGAGGATATTTAAGCAAAGTCAGCTGTTGATAAGAAGTCTGTTTGCAGCTCGATGGAAAAAAAGTCTCGAGACCATACATAAAAGCATTGATTTAGCAAATAGGTT